GATTATGTCCAGTAACAAGATTTATATCTTCTGTACATAGATTTAATGCTAATCGTTGCAAGCATGGCATCGCACTCAGGATATCAGCTATTTTCATTAAAAGACCAAGATATATGTATAGTATTCATTTGAAAATCTTTCAGATGAACAAGAGGTGAAATATTTGGTGATGTCGATATTCCAAGATATGAAAGCGGGTCACAATTAATATGAAAACGATTAATATGTGGTACAAGTTGAAATATAACTCGAACTAGTTTGCCTATTTTTAAGTTTACTGTCAATTCTTTGATATTCGGATAACAAAACATTTCGTCATATATAGCTCGATTAAAAGTAAAACCAATTGAATCAGAATCGAATGATACGGATTTCAATCGATCCTTATTAGCAGCTAGAATCTTTCCCAGTGATCCCTCTCCATGATTTTCTCGAAGATTGATGAAATCAAGTTTGACAAGATCAGGAAGATCTGTAATTTTGTCAAGAAATAAATCTAACTGTGTATCATCAAAATTAACGAGTGATAATCTATACAGCTGTGGAAATATTAGAGATAGCTTTGCATTATAAAATAGAGAGTCAACTTTGTTCGATGTAGTACTTTCCAATTTTCCATTTAATACCAATGATCGTATTGAAAAACCAATCTGCGGAACAATTTGTGATACAATAAAATCAAATTGTTTATATGTAACATCCGAGATATTCACATGATGACAAATATCTGCTATTGTTGAATTCAGACGAGAATTGAGATTGAAAAATGAATAGAGAACTTCACCACACCGAAGATATTGGGATACGAGTAATATCATTTCATCGGGTAACATTTCGAAAGTTGTAATATCATCCATTAGGAACGATTGATTCCGTAGTGTGCTTACGAAGTAGGTCATCTGCATAATTTACTTGGTTAACGACAGAACACGTTGCCACAATGTTGAATATGATTTGGTATAAAAAAGCTTGTTAGCGCAGCCCCTTCGGGGCTAAAATGTGGAAAGCACATATATCCTTAGGCTTACTAAAATAATTCAAAATAGTTCATCTGAAAGATCTACCCTGATTTCCAAAACCTATAATTAGATCATTGTCTATTTGCTTATGTCTGTAATGGAGTATTAATTGTTAACTCTCGTATATTTAACAGCGGCAGCGACTAGTTTTTATGGTCTGTAATGGGGAGGGGTGTGTGACGGCAGCAACGTCACTGATCTTGTCTTGATGTTTGCTATGTCATGTATGTTTATTTCTCCTCTGTATTGTTTTCTCTTTGTACTTATTGTCTCGCTATTATTTTCAATGTTGGCACTTTTTCGTTTTCGCGTTTGGGCACAGAAAATGACATGATAATTCTTCTTCTTCTTCTCTGACTACTACTTTTCTTCTTTCAACTCGATTGTTTATTACAATCGTTCGAGCTCGTGTCAGCTACTTGCTGGTGGAGTTCTTCTTATTCTCAAATATTTCTGTTCATTGAATAAACAATTGGATCTTCATCCAATCTTCAATACTATTTAATTTTCATTGTTGTCATTCTGCCATAACCAATACTGTGGCACCTGGTATTTTTATTAGTTGCATCGCTGATCCTCATCAAGGCGTTACAAGGGGGAGGCAACCGCAAAAATCTCGCTTTTAAACTTACACTCATCATTTTCTTCGAAAATATGTGTGAATTCCACAAAAAATGTTGCATTACAAAACATGCATGTAAAGAAAAGAAAAATAAACACAATGATTTTCTCTCTGCTTATGTGATGTCCTGCCATAGTTAACGCGACGGTTGTGAGCGTAGAAAACAGAACAAATCTATGCACAAACGATGTGCAGAAAAGTATGAGTGTGGGTGTGTTGATCTTTGCTTCGTTGGCATCTATAACCACATCCACGCCATTTTTAAATTGCATTACTTAATAAATCTCCAAAAAATTCATTTTATTGATAATGCTCGACAAATATTTATATTTAAAAATGTGGACGAATAAACAGACTGGATAATTTAATGGATGTGGGAATAAATGCAGAAAAAAGCAACACCATAACTATAGGCAAAATCTAATAGACTGAATTTGCTAGTGCATAGGAGGAGATGCTCATAATAACAGATTTTGATCAATTATTGACTCAACTAAATTACTTGGTATAACAAATCTTTCAATGTTTTTTCTTTTAATTAAACTATTTTTCGGGATATCTCAAGAAAAATCATCGCACATCGTTGCTATGACCGAGAGAAAATAGATCACCGAATGTATACCTTTCGGGAATCGGATGTGTTGTCTTTTCCAGATATTTACATTGATACGGATAGATTTATCTTATTAGAAAGAATTTCTTCGCATGTACGTTTTATTATTTTTATGAATAGAAAAATAGATACAGTGAAGAGAAGGAAAACATCATGACTTTCACCTATATTGACTTTGAAATCGACGGGAAGTTAGAGAGGAAGTTATAAGGTCTCATACATTTATTTCAATCGAGATTATAGTTAGAACACATACAAGACTTTTATCACCGATCTATATTCAACCAAGTACCTGGTCCAAAGGTAAGCTAGACCAACATAGTCACTGAAAATACCAGAGAGATATTCTATACACTCTAAAAATAAAACATATATCCGCGAACAACTATTTATTCAGTTGTATTTCTCGACTTTTACGGTACAAGCACTACAACGATGTTTCCCCTAGTTATTTTCCACAATTGAGTGATTTGATTGAATTTTCATTAAGAATTGTTATCACCGAGAAAAAAAATGTGGGCACACAATTCAAACAGCAAACATACCACGCTTGCTATGATGCTAGTGTTGGTCATGATTCTCTCTATACTCCGAATTCACCACGTATCTTCCTATACGATAGCGATGAACGATTATGATCTCTATGGCATCAAAATTGCTATGAATGATGGTTTGATGGTCTTCGTCGATAACCTGAATGCAGCCTGGTATACTGTACCAGTATTTCTTAATACTCAGATCATTTGTATCATCCATTTTAATGAGACAACGTGTAATTTTGTCTATAGTGTTGTTGTTCCAATCTCTAATATCAGTTCATTCGTCTATAATTGCATTGATTTACAAGGACGAAATGTTATCGGCTTATTCGAGAGCAACGCAACGTGCTCGTTTTATTTAAGCAATGAAAAAATTGTGTCCAACTATTCAACACAAGACAATTTTATCATTAGTATCAACGGAGACAATACGGCTATCTATGGTTTTGCTGATGATTTCTTATTCTATTACGAATTGAACTCAACATTTCAATTAACTGTATGGCCAAACTCCTTAAACATTTCCCCACGGGCAGCAGATATCGGTGCCAATATCGATTATGCTGTCGTAGTTGGCTACTGTCAATCGGCACCAGCATATGCATCTGATTGTGGCTTCATCGTATCATTAAACAGATCCTTGTCTTTTCCTAATAGTACAAATGCATTTTCTATGATTAATTCCAATCAATTTGCTTACTCCGATCCTCGCATCAATCAATATCTCACGAATAGTCGCGATTATTCGGCACAGACCGTTATGTCGGTGAGTATTTCCTGGCGCACTCGACGTGTATTAATCGGTGTTCAATCATTCAATATGGTTTTGTTATATTCGTTGGATGATCCTAAACGTCCGATTGGCACTCGTCAAAATGGAATTGGTCTGATGGGCTTTGGTAAAACTGTGGCATGGCTAGATGATCAAGGTGAAAAGGCATTGATTCTTGCTAATAGTTATACATATTCTACTTATCAATGGATCTCGTCATTCGTGCATATATATGATATTCAATCGGACGGATTCTCAGACAGCACACAACCCATTTTTATCTATCCTAATAGTCAGCAAATTCTTTTTCGGTGGATGCGACCCCAGTTCATTCGTTTTGTTTGTTCATCAAGTGGTAATTTGGCCATTTTCGATGATTTAGGTATTCCAGCTATTATTTACTCGGCACCATCGGGTACCTATCCGAACACAAATTCAATATATTTTACATCCAATACTGTCCCTTGTATTCGTGGCACCTATCGTAACTATACCGGAATTGAACTGTGTATGCCATGTTCCAATGACACATACGCCTATTCAAATAGTTGTTCACCTTGCACACTATCAGATTCATTTTGTCCATACGGAGCGGTAGAAGAAATTTCTTATTCAACATTCGAATCGATTGAACAAGATCAAGATTATCCTGAGTCACCTGAAAATACTGTCTTTGATGATATATTGATGCAAAACATATTCAGTTTCAATACACAATCCGGCCATTGTGTACTCGTCTCGCCCATAACCTGGGTACTTCTGGTCATTGGATTTGGAGTTATTCTAGCCGGTGGTATATTTATTCACGAGGCCTTCTTTCCTGGCATACACATAACACGCGATGGAACGAAGCAAATACTAAAAAAATTGGACCTCATCGGCGAAGGAGAAGTATTTCAGTTTTTGATTCACATTTTTTTTGTCGATTCAATTAATATAGAGATATATCTAAATATTAGAACTCACTCGAATATCTATGTTGTACGAGGATGTAAATTCCTGTTTCAAATTGGTCTCGGCTGTGTAGTTATAAATGTCAGTTTTCATTTTCACTCAATTTTAACAAGCAGATGTTTATCGAAAAGTAAATTACTTCTGATTATTGAGATTGCTTGTATGATGTGGTGACTATTTAGTTTAACTTGAAATTCATTAACTCATTGGCATAAAGAGAAGTGACTACATTTTTTTTCTCTTTAGCTATGGATTGGTGGCCTTGCATCAGCAGCAGTTATTGTTATAGTCATTTCGGCCTACAGTTTTTCCAATCAATACTTGCACCAATATCCAATTGAACAAGTTACAAGTGACAGTTCATTTGCATGTGATGTCACATTGCGAAATGCAAAATTTAGTACAACAATGCAAATGACATCAAGTTCAAGTAATTCTACTAAACAAAATCAAGTCATCTTNTTACGTTGAACGTTGATCTTATTCAAACAGCATTCATTTGTAATGATTCTCTTATCGTGCAACGCGTTGTTGGTTCTAAACTGACACTATTACCAATATCGGCATGTGAAACAAGTCATAACGATAGTATACTATCGTTGGCAATTGCACTTCCAACACAAGAAGTTGGTATTCAACTCACATTGCCAGGCTCAAGAACTGTTGGCGCTATTCGTTTGGGATTGAGTGGGCCTTCGATGATCAGTACTGATAAAAGGTAAAAGGAATAAATCAATAAAAAGAGATTTTTATATGCATTTCAATTACCTTTTTTAATATTTATTTGAAAAGGTCGACACTCCTGGAACTCAATTTTTCATCGGCTTTTGTTTCTTCATCATCCGATGAAGTCCTTGCACCATCTACTAGCTTCGTCATTGGATTAACTGCAATTGTTAATCAAACAGATCCATTGAATAGTGACGATTGGCCGACTTTCAGTGCCATTTGGTCATCGTCGTTTGATGTCATAACGGATGAACTCTTTACTGTCGAAAATAGATACACTTTCTTTCAACGAACTCAAACCAATATTAGCATTACAATTCAAAAGTCGATATTTTATGTAAACAATAAACAAGAGCCGATTGCTCGGCAAACTGAAATTATATTTCACAATCTTCTTTTTACAATTGTCGTCTTGGAGTTATTCTGTCTGGTGTTTCTAATTAACAAATTATTGATTTTGCCTCTGTATCACAGCATAAGTAGTCTTCTACATTATTTGTTGAAAAAGAATCGAGTTGGCGCGAACGAAAACAAATTGTCCATGGCTATTGTTGAGAAATTCAATCGTCCAATAATTAGAAAATCAATTCCGTCGATAAAACCTCGTCATCGATGTTCGACTATCAGTGTCAGCAGCTCAGCTACTTCTCAGTAGTAACAATTAGTATGAGACAGAATCATTAAAAATGTTGTCTTGTTCCACGTATTTTATGTCATAATTTATTCTTAATAAAACTAATACCTTTTTATCGATATTCATGTTGTGAGAAGCTGCCTTTTCAGATAGTTTTAGAGTTAAATGCTTGCTAAAACATTATATATATTGGATGCCATTCTCGAATCACTGTTACCAGAGATCCAGACCGGTTTTTGTTGGCGTTTATCACTTTAAACTAGGTGCTCTTTGACATGTTCCAATTAGTAATCAATCCTTGGATTATTATTCAGATAATTATACTAAAGTGGTTTCGTGTGGAACACGACGCAAAGATTGTGATACTATCAAGCATGAGTAGCTCACTGGCGTATAACAGATAAATCGTTTTGCTACTCGTGGCAACAACAATACACGTGGTCTGTATTCTGAATTGATTGAATATATGACTTTCGATCACCTAACCTCTCAACCATGAAACATGTTCGTCACGAATAACGATGCTATCGAGTTTCTAATATTTCTACAAGGATTTTTTTGACTCTTCATAAATTTCTGAGATATGCTTCCAGTAAGTTGACATACGTATAGCTATGCCAATTAATTACGTTTAATCATCGAATAAATTCATAATTTCACTTCTTAGTATGTTATTTTCAATCGTTAGCCAAACGCTTGAAAGTGAAAAGGTGGTCGACTGCCAAGCATGAAAAAGCTAGAACTGAAACATTGCATCGTGGTTTTTATGGGTATGCTGAATAGTCAACATAAGCCAGCCAATTATAAAATAAAACAATTACATATTGAAGCTTTATTAGATCAAAAACTGACATCAAGTACCATCCAAATATATGCTAAAAAAAGAATTTGACATTAAATGTAAAAACAAAACGTGAGTTAAAATCGCGTGATAGTAAGTACATGTTACTATTTTTCTCGCTATTTAAAATATCATCCAATGATTTTTCTGTAATTCTAATTGATGATAATCATTGGTATCAAATTGCTAAGTTTCGAAAATTTAATCAGTAATAGCAGATTGATATTATTATGCCACCTCATCGAACGCTTGTGGTTCCTAGATATCAGCCATTCATCATTGTTGATAAACTGACAGCTTATATTGAACATAATGACTTTATTTTACCTTTTATGAATCAAAGAAGAAACATGAAAATTAGTTTTACAAAATAATTTAGTCAAAGAAGATTGAGTGGTGACTTAATTGCTCCTTAAAGATCATCTTACACGTTTTGAGATTCTCTGCATCGCTTCATTAAAGGAAAGCATTTTTTTCTTTAACAAAACGCCATTTTTTGTTTTATTTTTTAAATAAACATAAACTTACTGATATTGTCAACATCTCCTGCTGATCTTCCTTCCTCATCATCTCATCTTTCTTTTCTGCAATCATTTGACTTTTGTCTCTCCTTTGTGAGTATGTGTTGAATGCGAAGTAGTCACGCACTAGAGTTGGGAATTTCAGTAGTGAGGATGAGTTATACTACTCTTTAAGTTTGTCATTACAACAATATTTTGAATCGTTCCAAAAGAGCTCATTAATTTAAAGTATTGAATTTTTAGTAGTAATTTAGAGAGCATCAAAGGAGAGTATCTCACTTGAACTGATAGCTGTCCTGATAATTGCAAAAAAACTAAAGATAGGAAACTCATTTCAATAATGTTTTGAATATCCGAGTAACGGCTCTATTTAGAATAAGAATGGTTATGAATCGAAAAAGCTTTATTCGATGATAACATGTGATGAAAACTAGCTGCTCTCTTTCAGGTGTATGGCGTACTAGTGCCGAATTAGAACAAACATCCCAATCTATAGAGTGCGATCGTCATAAATTTCCAATGTTACTTTGTTGTGACTGATAACTATTTTTTCACTCGCATTCAATTTTCTCTCTAAACGAAATCCATCAAGATTGAACTTTGTAATAGAATGTTTTTTCGGTTAGTAATAAAATAAAATTGGTTGATGAATTATATGAAGTGTTAGTACGCAATACTATTTCAAAACTTTTTCTACAAAATTCTAGCTCGTTAAGTTTTGTCGCTAATGATTTATATTCAGACGTTCTCTTTATTTCCGGTAGAGATAACATTATATTAGATGAAAAATTGATGCTTTACGTCAACATGGGCTGTAAGCTTATCTCGTGCTAATATAATAATTATGTTATTTAGATCCTACATGCTAAATAGAAGCACTGACGTCAAAGTCTTAAACTTTCACGGTTCTCTCGCTATTTTTTTTGTTATTTTTCTCTCCTCGTCCACGTATGCGTTCGGTATACCTGAATGATAATATATGTATGAGTTATTCTATCTAAAGTCTCAAGTAACAAGTGCAAAATATTCTAATAACAGTATGCATGTGTTTATAAGTCAGGATCTTTCATCGATACTTTATTTGAATTAGAAAAAATAAGACTAGCGAACGCCACTATTGTTGTTTAGTTACTTCTATTTCATTACTATTCGATTCATCGAAATATTACAAAGCGATGAAAAATATATTTATTTTGAAGTAGCAAAATCTTCAGCCAAAAGAAGCCTTGGTAAGAGAATTTTTTAAACGAGCTAGTACTAGAATTGCGACTGATACTGACTTAATTATTTATTATATAGAATATACTGTCTCTTTTGTTTCTTTTTCCCAGTGAAAATAAATGATCTTGATGGATAAATTAGATGTAGGAGAAAATCTATAGGAAATCGCAGATTCTAGTTTATTCTGATCTGTCACTCTATTCTTTGATTATTTTGAAAATTTCTGTGAGCTTTATTCAATCCAAAAAAACAGGAAACCGTACAAGAAAACGAAAAAACAAAAAAACATAAATTCAAAAATACCCAACTCATCCCTCATTCTTGCTCCCCATGCTCCTCCTCACAGAACGAGAAAAGATACAATATGCATGACTATGTAGCGAGGAATGGAACGAAGAATAATAGCAGCTCAACTACGTATCATATACTCAAAGAGAAGCGAGAAGTCGCTTACAATTTCACATATGGATAACAATCAAAGTTTGAATAATACAGACAACATTTCAGTAGCTTCCACTGAAATCTCTCTATCGCGTCATGTTCGCTTTTGGATTCTTCTTCTATTTGATATTCCATCCGTAGCTTGTGCATTTTTTGTTCTTTTCTGTATTCTTATCGATCGAAAATTACGCTCTAGCATAAAGAATCATGTTCTCGTTATTATATTGCTTCTTGGCATCGGTGCTCAATTAATCGATGCTCCTTTTTATCTCAATTTTATTGTTCATTCGAGTGTTGTTCCATCGAATCCATCGACGTGTCTATTGTGGGGGTTTGTGAATATTGGTATGTACGATGGAGGAGTCATATTTATGCCCTGGACTGCGTTTGAACGGCACATTATTGTATTTCATGAACATTGTATTTCAACAAGAAAGCGACGCATCATAATACACTATTTCCCAATGCTTTTTTTAATTCTATATATTTTTATTTATTATATTTATGTCATTTATTATTTTCCTTGTGAAAATACTTACGACTACACATTGCCATTCTGCGGTGCGTTACCATGCTGTGATTATGATCCGATCATGAGCATGTCGGACTGGATTGTCAATGTTGCATCACCAACATTTCTCGAAGCATTACTAAGTTTGGCTTTTATTTTTCGAGTCCTATGGCAGAAACATCATTCTCATTTACCAATACAATGGCGCAAGCACCGTAAAATGGCAATTCAGCTCATGTCACTCTATTCCCTTAACATGGCCATCAACGTTCCACTTAGTACTATTAACATAGCTTACTTTTGTGGTTTATCATATGACTAGCGGAGGTACCCGATGAAAAGGGAATATAGTTAAAGTTTTGCATCTTCCACCTGACTTTTCCTGCCGTGCATGACACGCCTTCTGCAGGATTGTTCCCACTGTGGGTGAGCTATCTGCAACAGAACTTTTCCTGCCGTGCGTCATACCTCTTCCACAGGACTTTTCCTATCACCCCTGAAACCTCTTGGACAGGACTTTTACCTGCATGTCTCAGGCATTTTCAAGAGGATTGTTCCCGCTGAGCGTTAGGCGTTTTCCACAGGACTCTTCTCGTCGTACGTGATACCTCTTCCACAGGACTTTTCTCACCGTACCTGCAACCTCTGTTACAAATCTTTCCCCACCGTGCGTGATGTGTCTTTCAGACAGCTTTTCCCGCCGTGCATTAGGCATCTTCAGCAGGACTCTTCTCACCGAGCTCAAGCTGACATATTCGCTCACATCCGCCCTGGACACGATCATTCTCGAATTTGCATTGAACTGCGTCATTTGATTAGAAAGTGAGTAAAAACGCGATCTCTTACGACTTGGATGAAATTTTACGCACGCCTTCCCTCTCACTCCGATCAGCCTGCCGGCTTTCTTTTGCACTCAAGGAATTGACACGAATATTTCCGTGACGCTATCTCTTACGACGACTCAATACATAGCGAACAGACTCATCAGAATCTCGATCCATGTTGGCCGGGATGAAATTCCATCTCACTTGTTGCTTTCTTCATTCGATGGATATGTCCATCTATACAGTTTCTCTTCGTCTTATACATTCTCTTCATTTTTTTCGAGCATTCTAAAATGTCTTGTGCCGAATGGCAAAAGCTCAGGTTTTTATATACTTTTGCTCTCAAGTTATAGAAGAGCAATCATGCGCGCAACTTCTCTGGAAAAGACATTTACTATAGTACATTTAATAATGAGTGGGGCCGGGGGGCGGAGGGCAACTCCCCCTCCCTTTAGGTGAAAATTTGGGGTTGAAAACTACCCTATGATCTTCTCCTGGTCGAAAGGGTATTCTCTGCAAAATTTCATTGCATTTACTCGCACTGTGTCGAAATACATGAAGAACAAACAGACAAACTTTCTTCTTTATATATATAGATAGATGTTACGCACTTACTTGTAGTTTGCAATTTTTTTTGGTAGAATATTGTAAGGTTAGTTAATCACTATCCAATGTAGTCCAATAGACTTCTATTTTTCGTTTGTGAACAAACTAATAAACTGACGTTTATTATGTAAAAGTGACGGGTATTTATTTATACTGATAGGTATGGAATAGAAGGGAAGATGCTGGAAACAGGTAGAGAAGATAGAACTTGTCAAATGACGCATAAAAATCGCGAGAAGAGAAAGGAATATATCAGAAAGAGAACGACAGACGATATGACGTAACACTGACCGATGGATGACAACCAGAAGATGGCGCTACATAACACAATATGTATATTTTATGTGTTGCTTGAATCGTCGGAGAATAAGAAACACTTTAGTGAATATATCGCTTTTTAGTGAAAATCAATAGAAAAAGACATCTATTTATCTATTTATTCTGAAGCAAAACACTGGAACATATCAATAACGTCATTTCATAACGTGAGATGAAAATTCCACTGTGATATGGCTTGGGTGAAATTTCACCCAAGCATCGTCTCTGTGCCTACTTAGGCGCGCTTTGTTCTCATCGTATATTTTACCCCTGTTCACATGGATCTACCCCCTGTTTCCTATCCTTACCGAGAAGCAAAGACAAGATCTGTCTCACTTCTACTTTTCAAGCCTTTGAAGAGTTATGTTCTCCTCTCACTGGAATGATCACTTCTTTTCATACGCTCTTGGCGAAATTTCCTTGGACGACAGATGCGCGTCTTATTGGGAGAATTACTTGGTAGCTTCAACCGATTCTGTTGATGGTAAACTTCTCGTAGAAAAAGCAAATCTGAACGTTCTCAGGACGGCGTGGAATCACGGCGAATTTCCTATTAAAGGTCTAAGACGTTCGAAGAGATTCATCGAATGCACTTCGATCCTAGAGAAAGCAGTATCGTGGCTGACAACAGTCCCCTGCTCGTCATCTATCCCTTTCTACGGCATTGATGAGGTACAGCTCCTGCAAGAGCACCCCGAAACATTTTTGTTTATGAGTCCAAGCTCATAAATGTCCTATTAACTCGACGTAATTGTCTTAATGGGCAATCGTAAATTGTGCAAAATATCTTACTATTCTTGCCTTACGTATTCCTCGTACGTTAATGAAATCAAGTTATCCACTGATTGTTCTTTCCGGTATCTTCTTCTTTCTCCCGCGTGATATGATATGTTCGTGGTCATCTTCTCTTCTTTATGTTACTTAATTTCTTCATATTGTTATTGTTCTTTATTTTTCTTTCTCTACTCTACTAATGATTTTTCTCTTTTCTCTTTTCCTTTTTCATCTTCTCTCCTTTAACATTGTACTGCAAGGATCCATTCGATCACAGTGACAGCAAAATATTAAAAAAATATATCTTTTAAAAACTTATCTCATCAGGAAGAAAGCCAATTAATTCATATAGAAAGGCATCATAATAGTCATTCGACAATTTTATTTGATTTTATTCATTAAATTTTTCAATCATTTTGCTAACTTTTTTACACCACTTATGGCATATATTGAACT